TGGCATCATTTGTACAAGGCTTAGCCGTGCTCAGGGAGCTAACCCTTCCTCCGTTTCTATGACTGTCAGCGAGTTTGAGGAGGGAGGGGGAGACTTTTAGTGTTTCAGTTTTCAGCTTTCCATTCAGGAATTCCCTTCCTTCTTCCTTTGATACTTGTTGAGCACAAACCAGCGTTGAAAGGTCTTCTTCCGGCATGCACATGTTTAGATTAGAGATGTCCCGATCCGATCACGTGATCGGGGATTGGAGCCGATCACGTGATTTTCAAAAGATCGGAATCGGGAGAAAAAAATCGGGGATCGGGATTTTTATTATTTTTTTTAAATGCTTTTTTTTTTATTATTAATTGTTACAAAACAAAAATGACCATGTTCAAGTCTTAAAGTCATCCTGAGGCCTTAGTTTTGGTTTCAAATTACACAACATCATGTATGTGTTGCTTCTTTGGGGCTTGTTTTCATAGACCTGGTTGCTTATTTCTCTCAAATCTGGCAACAGAGTGGGCAGGGCGCAGTGTCTAATTGTAGCAGTAAGCTAACGAGTACTGATAAGCTTTATTTTGTTTTGATCCAATGCTGCACAACTGAACTGATCCAATGCTGCTGTGAAAGAAAGAAGCTATATCCATGTTGGATAGAATATCCAATTTAAATAAAAAAATAACCTTAAGGGACAACTTGAACGCTTTTTTTCTTTTTTTTCTCTTAATGCATTGCATAAAGATCGGATCGGGAAAAATCGGTATCGGCAAATTGTCAAAATCAAATGATCGGAATCGGATCGGGAGCAAAAAAAGGTGATCGGGACATCCCTACTTTTAATGAAGCTTTGTTCCGCCCAGTTTAAAAATGGTCTATATAGGAGAACCACCGATTGTTCTTCATTGTAAAACAGTAGCAAGATGGACTGAGACGAAGATAAAGTAAGGGGATTATAGGGAACGAAAAAGAATATGATAGAGAGGCCAAATGGAAAAACAGGTGGCGAATGAAAGATGGGCCACCGTCTGAGGAACCACTCGCAGAGATAAATTGCCACACAAAGTGGTCGGATGGGGACAAAAGAAAATCCAGCAGAGGTATGAGAGAGAAATCAAATACAGGTTCGTGGACAGGTGGACTCTGATGACGCTGTATTGAAACACTCCCGGCACACGACTGCTTCCTCCGGAAATACCATGCACTGAGATGTGAAACAAACACAGATTTGAATAGTGAAATAGCTGGACATATCTGCCATAGAGCGCAAAGGAATAATCCTTAAAATGTCATAAAATTAAACCCTATTTTTCTGCCCTATCCGAAGTGTTTACAGTCAGAAACGATATCTCAATATTGTAGATATTATTTGTTGTGGCAGAGGTTGTGTTGTATTCAGATTGCCAACTGGAGCATGGCAGATTCTCAAGAAAACTATGTATGCATGTAATCCAGTGGGATGTTATGACATTGATAGCAGCCTCACAGTTATACTCTGTGTATTCTCGTTACACTGTGTCAGCTGTATTTGGTTACTGCCATAACTTCTGCTGCTGCTGTTGTTCACGCTAAAAGCATAAAGACTGGCAGGATAAGAGGTGGTTTTACTGTGAAGAAGATAGAAGGACAGGCAATGTATGTCAATTAAAAACAGGACTATGGTCATTCTCTTCAGTTGTTGACAGTGTTAAACTTTCAGCTTTCATTTTTGCAACAGAGTATTGGAACAATTGTTAGATAAAGAGATGCAACACAAAGCTGCACACCTCCAACTCCTCAGCAAGGCAACCAAATTAACCAGCCAATAAATGATCCCAAATTAAAAAGTTGTTTTCTTGTCTTTCAATTTGAAAGAACATACATTAACCAAACTCTGGTAGATGTGTCTATCAAAGACTCCACTTTCCAAAAACATAAACTACCATCAGCACAGGTCAAAAGCAGCGCGATTATTTGTTATAGTTGTTACTGAACTTTCACCAGACTATTTATACACTAATATTGACTATCTGTGTCGGCAGTAATCACAGCAAGGTTTTTTTTAAGTAAAGGGATGCAATCAAAAGTCATCATATAACAGACAGAAAGACTTACTCATAAATGTGTATTCAAGATCTAGTAGATGGCAGAGGAAAGGTAAACAATCCATGGACCGTTTGATCATCACAATCCTAGTAAAACACTTTCCCACCTTCATCATGTGAAGACAAACCAGCCTGAACTTCACAGCAGTGTTTGTACAATTAAAGTGGCCAAGCAGATCATAGATATTTTGGTATTTAAGTCAATCTATGAATTAAAATGAATGAATGTATGTATCTGTACACATATGATACATGAGATGGCAGTTAATGACCACGATGCTTTTTTTCCTGAGCTTCAGTCCCCCTGACCAAAAGAAAGGAGAAACCAATCTCTGCTCCAAATTAAACACTAGAGGTATGAAGGCCTTTCAGGCGGCAATTTCCAAAGGGGATACAAAAAATTGCAACCCTTGTCGAAGTGTCAGTGAACACAATGTCTACTTCCAAAGCGTTGGTCTTTGAGGACTACAGTAAGCCACAGACAAACCTTAAAACTATAATTGGTACAGGGACTGGGGATCGATTGCAGAGCGCGTGTTGGGCCTCTGTGGGAGCGATTTCATATTCTGCTCTCGGTCATGGTGCTCATCCTTTCCTAAAAACTCAATCTCAGAAAAGGTATGAAGTATTGATTTTGCTCCAGCGATCAGCTTGCCTCGCTCTCATCCCTGACTTTGTGCAGAACCACAATTACATTGCAGGGGATTTGAGCGGGCAGAAAAGCATTAGCTACCAGGCTTCACCTCCTCCCTGTACTTCCTCCTTAAAACCCTCCTCACTCGGCCAGGCACGGGAGGTTAAAGGCAGGAGTGACCTCAATGCATTTCTAATGTGTCCAGTCACCTGGCTCACACCATTACAAACACTTAAACTTGACATGTTGACCCCTAAGGGCAGAACCCCCTGCATGCTGCAAAACACTACAAGTAGTCCCATCATTAAAGGTTTAAATGAGGTCTAAGGGGGGGAAGTGGAGAAACCATATATTTAAGTTCATTTAAGCTTCATCATGCTTCAACAGTATTGCTTTTTGAGGAATGTTCTACAGGAGATTATCTGTAAGAAAGATGCCATAATGATTAAAAACTCAATCATTTTGTAATTTTTTTAAATTCCTTAATTATACGTTATTCACTTGCTCTTTATTGCTCAGACATCAGGTTCTAGTACGGAACATTTAACATACTAGGGATTAAATAAAGTTTGTGACTAAAACACTTTTATTTTTTACACTGTAGAATAACTGTGCAAACGCAGTGGATTTTACTCGAAGTCATCACACTTTAAGTGAACTCAGCTAAACCGAGTTGTGTATACTCAGTATATCTGGAGGGCAAAGCCAGAAAAAAAATTGGTCTAAGACCCTTTTAAATCTGCTGTGGGGCAGCACTTTGACTTTTAATATAAGGAAAGAAATGTAGCAAAAAGACAAGTAGAGATTCCAAGTGCTGCAAGAAAGCCAAGTGTTGCCTCACAGATACTGTACAAATGCATCACTACACAATATAAAGGTAGCGCCACCAAAACAACAGCGAAACATTTTGTGTAAAGTTGGATAAACTGTCTGGTGTGCTCACCAGCAGCGTGAGAGAACATCTGCTTTCAGTGCCAACAACAGAAGTGATATAATTGCTGTGGTGTTGAGTCATTAATATTGTGTACAAGTCACACCTAGGGAATTAAATTAGCGCCAGGTGGTAAGTATGTCAGGTCATATTATGTAAACGTTCTGGTACTAAAGAGATAGTGGTTACTAAATACTACTACTATAATAAATCATTCCACATAGGCTAGATTTCATAGGTGGCACGGCGGACAATACAATTGCGAGCAAAAAAGAAATGCTCAGACAATTTCAGACCCTTGTCACACCTAACTTTTTTAGTTCAAACAGTTTCTGAGCAGATTGACAAAACAGACCAGAACAAAATAAGCACTTGTAAAACTCAAAACATACCCATCAATTACAGTCAATGTTGTAAAGTAACAAAGTAGATTTACTCAAGTATTGTACTTGCACTTTACTTAAGTATTTCCATTTTTTTACTACTTTGTACATCTACCCCACTACAATTCAGAGGGAAATCTTGTATAATGAGTACTTTTATGTTTGGTATTTTCAGTATATTTTGATGCCAACACTTTTGTACTTTTACTTGAGTAACATTTTGAATGCAAGACTTTTACTTGCAACAGAGTATTCCTACACTCTGGTACAATATATTAGTAATTCTTCCACCTCTGATTGTAAATGACAACTATGAATGACTGTTTCTGAGCAGATTGAGAAAACAGATCATACCAACCAAAGCACTTCTAAAACTCAACATACTACTTTAAATCATCCACAGAAGCAGCTCTAAAAAAAAGTATGATAAAAGGCTTAGGACGCAAATCCTCTTGTTCCTGACATTTATCTATTAACCAAATATATGTCATACATTTTTTTTAAATGGCATATTAACAACTATACATAACATTTAAACAAAGCCATCTTCATTGTGTTTTATTAAGAGTTCAAGTTGTAGCAGACGATGCTGGAGAATCAGTTACAGTAGGCGGTGACAGTAGCAGGTAGTTAACCGTCTAACAATACAGATTATCGAAAAGGTAGCATACTCTAAATTGTTTTCTTGACTAACGCTTGGTTTGAACACCCGTGTGCTCATACTGAAAAATAAATCCTATACAGTGATGAAAAGTTATGTTACATTTCAAAATAAAAAAATACTGTGAGTAATCCAGACACTCTGACGATAGCACGAGAGCTAACTGATCGAGCTAGTTAGCATGCAGCTAACCTAAGCCAAACAAAACGGTCGGGGAAATTGTCGAAATAACTGCAATTAAAAATACGACATAAGAGCTTTAATTCTTTCTTTTTAAGTCTTAAATCGACATGTCAGTGCTTGTTGTTTTATTTAGGGAAAGGCTTACCTTTGTGTTGGGTTAAATTAAGACGCTAGTTGTCCGGGATATTCTGTTGTTGATTGCTAGCATGCTAACTGGCTGACATGAAGTCTCACAAAGAGCGACCCCTGCTGTCTCGGAGTAAATTAACAGTCCACGAATTAAAGGAGAAATTTACAGTATGTAATGTGTATGTATGTAAAAATCAACACACAAATCTTATTATATATACATACCCATAGAAAGACTGCCTTTGTGACCAATAAACACAAAACATTATATTTATGTTTACTAGTTATTATTAGTTGGCTTGTTCATTTCTTTATTAATTATGTTCCTTATTGTTTTACCATGGTATAAGTGTTTTTGCATCTTTATTTAATAGTTTTATTTTTGCCTTTCACCGGCACTGTACATTTCCATGCTGCCTGTGGGACAAATGAAGTATTACTGATTCTAAAGTGTGTGTGGGGGTTTCTCTCCATATTTCTTCTCTTCTTTGCCTGATTGTAAGAAATAAAACAAAACTTAGTTATATCTATGTTATGTTAATTCAAACACCCAGCACACCAAGATTAACAAGTGTAGACTATTAAAAGATTTCATTTAATTATGATGTAGATGGAATCACTCTCTAGATTTATTGGTTCACACTGAAGGTCGTTAATACATCTTCAACCTTGTGTCGAGTGGGTGAGGTTTTATTATTTATCTAGCTGGTAGGCAACCTCGATCTTTGAAATAATGAACCAGTTCCCCCGATCGTGATACGGGTTAGTTGTAATTAATTCGCCCAATCTAGAAAACGCACAGGACAGTATGACCTGCCAGGGATAAGAAATCCCTCTGAAAAGAAAATGGTGCCTTTCTTTTCCAATATATTCCCAAACAAGCCAAACTACAAAACCCTTTTATCCAAAGCCTGGTGATTCTGTAAATGCACAATTTTAAATGCTATCACAACACCTCACATGGGCTCCACATGCATCATTACTGGTTTTCATACAGATAAAACGTGTGATTCACTGAATTTATTTATTCACAAGGGTCAACAAAGACAGAAAATGAACTTTTTTCAACAAGCCAATGCTTCCAAAGAAAAAAGTATACATAACAAAAATTCTTGTCAAGACATATTTACACATTTACAGACATTTTAATACTCTGATTAACATTTCACGGAGACCTCAATTGTCCAAATCAAAGGCAGTGAAGTAAAATGTAAAAGTACAAAATAAAATCTAGAAGTATAGAACACATTCATCACCGCTTTTTAGGAATAACAACATTTCCGCTGGTTGCTATGGGGATGAGGAGTTTGCGCTGTTCCATACGAAGATATTTTTCAATCAGCACTTCCACTGGGACCGTGTCAGTCACATGTCCCTGCCTGAAAAACAAAAAAATGGTTCAGTTAAATCTAAGTAAAATGACTAAAGTGTCAGAAATTGTTTAGGTATACTGTTCAGTGTTTCCCACAGAATTTGATTCCATCTGTGGGGGCACCGTCTCGTGTCTGTTACTTCAGACTAAACGTGGAGTCAGAGTCTGCCATCTAGAGGTCGGTATTATCCAGTGTTTTTTATTTTATTTTTTGCTACAGTATTAATTTCTACATAATAGTTGTCCAAAATCATTCTGAAAGCATTGTATTAATTACTTTTTGCTTTGTACTTGTCACCATTTTGTTTTGGTTTCAACTGTCGGCCATCATGAATTATTGTTATCTGAAAAGGCATTTCATTTGATCATTGACCCTGATGTCTCTGGTCTGTGTTACGAACGTAACTCTTTTATTAAAGCTTTTTGCAAAAACCAAAGGTTAAATAACTGTTCATGTTTTCCAAAAACACACCATTAGGGTAGAATGTGTTTGATTTGTGCTTAAATTGCCAACAAATAGGCAAAAAAAAGTCCATAGGGACTTGGCTTGGCAACTGGAAGGTCACCAGTTCAAGTGCTACCGAGGTGTCCCTGAGCAAGGCACCGTTCCCTACACTGCTCCCCGGGCGCCGTTCATAATGGCAGCACACTGCTCCTAACACTAGGATGGGTCAAATGCAGAGGAACCGTTTCGTCACTAATACCTGTACTATGTGATGACAATAAAGTTGAATCTTCTTCAAGACATGGCAAACATTCACTGCTGGTGACCATAGCAAATATATTTGTTTTTATCTTTCAAAACGACTGATCCCCAAGTCATTAGTGTTGTCCTTGCACAGATAAGCACAAATCACACTTACCTTCTCAACAGAAGTTCAGCATCGTCAACCTCTATGGTTTTTCTCTTTGCATGAAAGGCATATGTCTCCAAGTCCTCCGCCAGTCGGTCGAAGTATTTATCCATTCTGGTAAAAACATGAAATAAAATGAAGCTAGTGTGTACTGTAAATGGTAGAAATCCATGGTGTCCTAAACACATGACAGTGCAATATTATTGAATTAAAGGCAACCTTATATTACTTACATATCGTTTAGGACAGGGTACACATCTGGAGAGACTTTGGTTTTGGCGAAGTGTTTGAACACCTCCATCAGGTAGCTCTTAGGAAGGTCAGTCTGCTTTTTAGCCGGCCCTTTCCTCTTCTTTCTCACTGGCTTTGGTTTAGGAACAGGAATAGCTTCCCCTGTCCTACTGCTGACATAATACATAAATATAAAGTCAGTAACATAGTAGATGATAAACATACAATAACTTTAAGTCAGTTAAAAACTATACAACTGACATTCTATATGCTATGATGTAAAAGCCCAGTTTTAATTTTTTTAAATTAGATTGTAGCATAAAATGCAACTTACCTTGCTTGAATATTCTGAGGTTTGGGCTGAAAAAAGCTCATTTTCTGTCTGACAAAAGCTGGGGTCTTGCTTGGGATCGCTGAAGATTTTGGAAAACAAAAAACACATTTGACCTCTATTCACAATTGACTTTCAATAAATGAAACACTAACAAAGACTAACCATCACTGTCCTCCTCCTCGTCCTCGTCCTCGTCCTCCTCCTCCTCCTCCTCCTCCTCTTCCTCCTCCTCCTCAGCAGCTTCTTCAGGTGATTTGTCATTCAGGGGCCTGTCTTTGGTATCATTCGCCAGCTCCATAAGATGAAAGGAGGTTTCTTTATCAGTGCCAAGGTCGCCGTCCATGTAGGAAGCGTGTGTTTCAGGGCTTCCCATGTGCAGGCTGCTTGGTATTTTAGACTTACCGTCAGACCATCCTGAACGCAAACAAAGCTGTTAAACATTGAACTTTAAAATACTCTGACACGCAGCCCCGAGAGGAAAACGGCTGCATTTTATTTAAACTTTTCCCCCTTTTATTCCCCAAATTTGTCCCAACACATGTTTGACCCTTCAGACATACTTAAAATACAAAAGCAAAAATATATTCATGATTTTTTAAATATAAAAAAGGACAAAGATAAGTAATGTGACAATTTGAAAAATGTATTAATAATTAATTAGATATAAAGAAATAAAAAAATCATAATAAGAGGAATCTATTGGGGTCTGGATGCAGCTCAGTCAGCTCTTGCTTGAGTATGTTTTAAATGTGCTGACTTGCAGCTTCTCATGTAGAAAGCATGTCAAAAGAGATTCAATATTTGGACGTCCTCACCTTCCTCTGTGGCGTCGTCCAAGTCTCCCGCTGCCTCAGTGACGGGCACGACGAGGGGACCCTCAGAGCGAGGAGCCCTTCTGCTGGTGTGCTCCAGGTTTTGCTCTTCCTCTTCCGACGGCTGCTCGGCATCTTCCTCCGACGGCTTCCCATCATGCTTGTCTTCAGGTTGAGAATCAGCCAAATCGTCCTCCTCTTCCTCTTCCTCTTCCTCTGCAGGAACCTCTTGTTCACTTTGATCATCTGCAGTCTCCTCCTCTTCCTCAGACAGAGACTTTGCTGCATCCTCTTCAGATTCAATATCAACTGCAGCTTCTTGAGAGTCTGGTGCAGCCTCCTCTTCCTCAGACTGAGACGCGGCCTCTGCAACCTCTTCAGGCTCGGAATCAACTCCATCTTGTTCTTCAGTTTGAGAGTCACCTTCAACTTCTTCCTCTGCAGTTTGAGTGTCTGGTACAACATCCTCTTCAGCCTGCCAATCAACTCCATCTTGTTCTTCTTCAGTTTGAGACTCTGCTGCAGCCTCCTCTTCAGTTTGAGTGTCTGGTGCAACTTCTTCCTCTGCAGTTTGAGTGTCTGGTACAACATCCTCTTCAGCCTGCCAATCAACTCCATCTTGTTCTTCTTCAGTTTGAGACTCTGCTGCAGCCTCCTCTTCAGTTTGAGTGTCTGGTACAACTTCTTCCTCTTCAGTTTGAGTGTCTGCTGCAGCCTCCTCTTCCTCAGACAGAGACCGGACTGCAGCATTTTGAGAATCAGCTTCACCTTCCTCCTCTGTTGGAGCTTCTACATTGTTCTCCTCTTCCTCCCTAACGGTATCCAGGGATTCAGCTCCACCTGCCTCTTCCTCGGCCACAGTTGCATTATCTTTCATTTGATCATCACCCGTGTTCTTCTCTTCCTCCCTTTGAGATATAGATGCAGTCAAACTTCCATTTTGAGGTTCCGCCCCCCCCTCAGTTGGGAATGCATTCACTGACTTCTCTTTCCCCAGCTCCACCTCCATCTGATCCTCCTCGACCTCCTCCATCTGATCCTGCTCCACCTCCATCTGATCCTCCTCCTCCTTCTCCTCCTCCTCCTCCTCCATCTGATCCTGCTCCACCTCCTCCTCCTCCATCTGATCCTCCTCCTCCTCCTCCTCCACCCTCACCGTCGGGTTGTCCCGAGATGCGGCTATTGATAAATTGTCGGTCATGGCGCCGGGCTGGGCGCAGAGCGCCTTGTCACAGTGGATGATGTCGGACGTGATGTCAGTGTCACAGAGTTTGCTGAGGCCAAGAGTGAAGCCCTCAGAGGAGGTGGTCTTACTGAGACTCCACCGGCTCGTCTCTCCTGGGTGACAAGAAGAGAGGGAAAACTACAAATGAGTTATCAGTAGCATCCCTAGCGACAGTACTTGCAAATAACCTACAATATTGTTATTGATACGCCACTAGTTGAGCCTCCCTTCGTAAAACAGCTATCGGCTCCCTTCCTCCTGCTTGCTCATGTAACTGGGCTTTAGTTCTAAATGTACATACTGTATACCTGGTCGAAATATTCTTGAGAGCCAAATTTAGATGTGAATTGGCCTTGTGTTCAAACATTAGTCTATTTAATTTTTCTGTAAAATAATATATATAAAAAAATGTATGACACATTTTGAGACATATTAGAATAAAAATATACTCTGGGTAAAACTAGTGGGTTCTTTCATTGTTATTGACACTTTAAAGCCTAAATGGTCAGCAATTTAATTCATTAACATTAAAGGTGGGGTAGGTAATTCACTTCAGAAACACTTTTTGTTATATTCCAAGGAATGCTCTTAACATCCCGATAGCAAACAATAATACATGAAATGCTTTGACAATAAATACATAAAGAAATGTCATCTGTGGAAGCCGTGGCGCTGTAAAAAGCATGACCAATCATTTTAGCCGGCCCGGCTAAAATAACTGGATGGCCTACCTGCCTGTCAGCCTTCCATCTGTGCACAAGCTTATCTCGTGCCCTCATTGGTCATGTGCGCGTGTGTGTTGGAGGAGTGGCTCTGTAAGGAAGTCTGAAGGAAGGGGCAGGTTTGTTCCGGCTGCGTAGTTTCTAATTCTAGCGCACTCGAGCTGGTTTCTCCATTCTTACCCACCCTACCTTTAAGTTAACTTGTTTTTTTTAACGGATATATTAGCAGATTGATCTAAAAGGTACATTTTTGAGTAGTTACAAAGAGTGTTTTTTTCATTGTAATCACCTTCCATTGACCGTCTATCTACAGCAGCGTCAAATCCTGCCACTGAGATTCTACGGCGTAGTAAAGCTCTTCTCCGCAGGCCTCTTCTCTCAGTCTGAACTTCCACAAAGGGGGTTTTTAGAGTGGGACTGCAAAACAGAATGGAGAGACCGCTTAGTTATATATTCACTTATTAACATTTTAAAAAGCAATGTAACTTTTTATATGCATAAAAAAACGACACAACTTTGAAGTTTGTTATTTACCTTGACAAAGTAAGAGATGATTGTTCTGTTTCTTTATTTTCATTCAGATCTGTAAGCACAAGCATTCATCATAAAACCAAGACATTAATAAAATACACAAGTGTTCTCATAGTTCATATGTTTCTACATCATCATCTAATTCTTGTAGCAGGAGTATACTTAGTTCAATCCAACCCTATTGGAAATCTGTCAATTCAACAACAACCTTAGGATCGTACTTTACACCACTATTCAGGTGTTGCTTGAACCTTACCTGGCCCGGCATCAAGACGTTTTTCAAAAGCCGATACATCAAAGCTCAGATGTCTCTTCCTGTTCAGTCTTTTTTGGGTACTCGCTGCACCAATAGTTAAATCAGGCAAATCCAACCCTGACAGCTCAATACTGAAAGTGAAGCAAATACTAACCTGTTACACACAACACAACAAATGTCAGCCGGTAGCATACAAACTGTCAATGTTGCTGAAGAGAGAGAAGATCAGGGTGGATGTTTTTATCAGCTTTGGACTGAAAAAGTAAAACATTTGAAATAATCATCCTGGTCATCCCAAATGTCAGCAATGTGCAATTTCCCTTACACAACTCACCTGCGACCCTTACTCGAGTCGGCTGAAGATGACTGTCGCCCATCTGACGCGGCCCTCCCATGAACCACAGGCGTACTCGCAGGCTCTGAATCACATAAAAGATTAGACGATTAAAAAAAGGGCCGCAATCAGCTGGAAAATTAGGTGTGAATAAAACCATGCCATGCACATACCTGTCTGCAGGATGTTCTTGAGTATGTGCCTCGGTGTCTCTCCATCCTCCAACAGCATTGAGTTTACTGCAGGCTTGTTACTCAATCTGAATGAGACTGAGCGAGCGACCCTTCTCGTGGCATTCTGGGATTTCCTGGATATACTCTGGAAAGAAGTTCAATAAGTCAACCTTAAGAATGTCCATGATCAGCACAAGCTCTGCCGGCCTTCCTCACCTCCCGTAGTTTGTGTATCTGGCTGTGTTTTAGGATGGCCTTTGGGGTTTGGGGAACAGCATCTTTGTTTCTCAGTCGACTGCTGCTCCTCCTGGTCGTGCTGGCACTCAGTTGTTGAGAGGCACTTAAGACAAGAGAGATCAATATTATTATAGTTTTAAAATCCTTAATTTAAGTATGATTAAAAAAAGAAACATTATTTTTACAATAAACACTTGAAATCATGAAGGTGATTTGAATGACATTGTAGAAAAATCATACTTGCGTGTTAAATAGTTTATATATATGTTTCAAAAGCTGAAAAGGGGGAAGATCTTGGGTAGGTAAAACAAGACTTTGTATATAATGTAAATTATTCCCTGTAAAATAAAAATAAATCACGTTTGAATTGAAAACAAGCACAACTTTGATAACAAAATAGTAAATCCATGCTGATCTACAGAGGAAATCATGTGCATCTTTGGATAGATCGGATAATATTGTGGTTATTATAATTATTTCCATACAGGGTATTAAATAATTGAGGCTTCCTTGTTTTAACATGCTGGTGTTACGAAAACCACCTTATCTTTTCTTACTAAGCTAGTTATGGGAGGAATAACGTTAGCATTTATCAGAGCTAGCGTTCATATTCAAAGCTTGAAACAATAATAACAGACTTCGTTAGTTATTTCCATACAAATTTAGTGAGGGTTAAGGTGAAGTACCTGTGGGTGAAGGGGGTCCTTGGTGTCTCGGTGCTGAGAATTTGGGTCAGCAGGACCCGGGGAGAAAGGTTCTCCGCTGGATCCATTTAGAAACAGAGCCGGTTATTTTTGTTTTTCTCCCAGACGGTCAGCTGTTTAGCTCAGTTTAGCTAACGAACGTTGTCCACGGTAAACAGTAGAATAAACCTTGTTAAGCTGCGGCTCGGCTCTATATAAATAAAACCAGTCTAACAAACGGCGTTGAGCTAAATACCGCCTCAATTAACACACAGCTTGTCTAATTAAACATGTGTTGACTGTCTAATGTTGTTTCTTATGTGGTTTCAACGGATTTACTCTTCACACTGTCCCGCGTTATTTTCAAGTGAAATATCGCGAGATGATGAGTTTCTTCTTCTTTTACATCTAAAGCGTAGTTCTTCTTCTTCTTCTTCTTCTTCTTTGCTTTAATGGCGAGTCGCAACCACTTGGAGCATTATCGCCACCTACTGTTGATTTATTGAATCTTCATGTTAAATCTTTGTCTTCAGATACTGTATATAAAGCTTCAGACCAGTGTTTTTGAGAAATTTGAAGATGAGTTTGTTAACTTCATTTCTTGAGTTACTTGCGAATATTGACTTGAAATCCATGTCCTTAATGTTATGTTGTTCTTTGTCTGGTATATTCCGGACAGCTAAATACGTGATGTATTGTCTCTGATTACAGGCCCGGTTCTACGGGGGTGCATAAGGGTGCATTGCGCCCTCAGTTGAGTCGTTATGCACCCTAATTTGAAAAATGAAAAGTGAAAAAAATGAAAAGTGAAAAATATTACATATAATAACAATAATAATAATAATAATAATAATAATAATAGTAGTAATAATAATAAGAAGAAATGAATTGTAATTGTGGTTAAATAACATTGTCTGCTGCATTTATTTGGTCAATTCCAACGGTAACGTTATTATGTCAGGTGCGCGTGACCTGTGCTGCTGCGCGTTCATCATCTGTAAGGTGCTTACACAGCAGTCAATGGTGGACATCAGAACATGGTTAAAACAACCAGCCCTTATCGCATGAAGTAACACTGCATATACTGCAGGTAATAACAGTTCAGATCATGGGGACATTACATTACCCGCGGTCACTGTCGTGGACACTAACGCCCGACTCGCCGGCTTTGCCCGCCTCGCCCACGGAGGCGGAGCAGCTGCAGCCGTCTTCGTTGCCCCAAACAATGCCACCTCGTTGGCCCACAAGTGCCAGAGGACCTCGGCAAAACAGAGCCTGCCCAGGTACAGTATATTTAAAAAAGTACCCAACTCGCCTGTGCAGTGGGGTAAGGCGCTCATTGCACGCAGCTCATGGTTTCAAAACAGATATTGGCTTGAATATTCATGTAAAAAAGATGTAGACATTTCGGTTCAAGTAAGTCAGATGCCTTCACCACAACTGGCTACAACAACTGGCGCCATGCTCTTGTACGTGAGAAGGGACTGGGAAGGCATGAATCAAGCAAAGAGCACATAGATCCATAGATCTCTTAATGTTGCTCTCAAAGTGCACCAGATTGATGCAGAGCAGGGGTTCCTAAAGTGGGGGTCGCGAGATGATTACAAAATAAAAATGNGAGACAGCTGAGGCCTGTCCCCCTGCTGGTCCCTGCCTGTTGGGACAGACTGAGGAGGGCTGTGTCACCGTTTGCTCGACATTGGGCCAGGACGGTGTGGTTACATTTATTATAATGGTTAGGAATGGTGGAGCAGCACTGGAGGCCATCTGGACATTCTGTGTGAAAAGAAGAACATGTAGACAGACTTATCAACAGAGTATTAATGGTAATTCAAAAGCAACAGCACGTGCAAATTCTGATAATTTTTTGGGACAATACTTATACTCAAAAAGTGCCTGATTTTATATATCAGTTTACTCATCACATAAATTCAGCTGTGTCTCAAGGGAGCTTTCTAAAAATAAATAAATAAATGTAGTCCAGGTTTTCTTAAATTGGGCTTGAGACTTGACATGTTGAACAAAAGCCCTATTTTTACAAACTAGGGGGAATTAAATCTGTGTATTAACCAGGCAGGATGTATCTGAAACTAAATAATGTTCTCAAAATTGAAACTTTACTCATGTCCAGTAAATAAAGTGCCTGAAAGAGACACAAAGATACATCACATATGCCAAAGTGTAGGGGAATTTCAATGGATATGGTGCAATATTTATTGTCAATGTATCATTTCGTTAGGTGAATCTATAAAACTATCTCCTGAGTTGTCACCAGTTTGTTCCTTTGTCTCTATTCATTCCTCTGCCTTTCCCTTTGTGCCCTCCACCTGACCTGCATCACACACCTGCTTATTAGATCCTGCTGCCCTCATACCAGCCCAGCTTCTTTGTTCCTCTTTATCATGTGTTTATGTGGCTGTGACCTGCCTGCCAGACTTACTGCAGCGTTCAAATAAGTCATGTAACTGCACCAGGCTGCCAGTTATCAGTTTGCAATAGTTACATTTAAAAACAGGTGTGTTGAATAATATATATATTTTCCCCCCGCCTACAATTGACAACTACATGTGTTCCCCTGAATGCAGGAGGAAAGGTGTGTCAAATAAGAATAGATATAATATAGACGTAGTTATTTGATCAATGGTTTCTGATGAGGAAGCTGCTGGTGGTCATGTTTTTTATATGATATATGGATATCTGTACCTTTGCATGTGTGTCTGGAGGTTTCAAGACATTCAGCAACATGCCATCTTTGAGTCTGTACCACCAAAATGGAAAAAGGCATCTGACACATGGGGCAAAAGTCTCCAGAGGATGGTCCCTCATCAGCAGCAGCATTGTCTGTCTGCACTGTGTCCCTGGATGAATTTGATGGAAGAACAAGGGCCTCTAAACTGCTGTCTCCATTAACAACAAACCCACAATGTCCATTTTCGGCTTGCTTCACTTTGCTCTCAGCCTTTTGGTCACACTTACAACTGGTGAATCGTTCGTGCATACATGGTTGCCATCAAGACGTTGCATTACCGCTGACTAGTGGATAAATAAGAAAACTACATTTTCAAAAAAAACAAAACATTATTAATAATGGAAATACTGTTATAGGAAAAGGGGAACATTTGAAAAAGTTTTTAATAAGATCTCTTGTGGATTTTTTGGATGAATACAAAAGTGGGTGTACAGGTGTATTATGTATGTATATTCAGCTACATATATTTTTTATATATTTAACATTTCATTCGGGATTGTAAGCAACAGCATTTCGATCTCGGTCTGTATCACACACACAGGAGATTGACAATAAAGTGGATTTCGACAATATGGTGGTGTAGCATCATTCCAAACATTGGGTTAATTCATTCTGTCCTCAATTTTAGTATGTTACTTTCTGGTCTTGTTCTGTTTATATTCCTGCTGCTAAATAAAATGAATACTAAAAAGGCTATTTCAATGTGTTACGCTAACAGCACACTCTGCTGGCTGGAAAAATAAATAACAGCTAATGGTGATAGAAACAGGAAGATGATCAGCTCTTACTGAAAATGATGAAAAAAAGCCAAAACTGTGGCACTGTGTTTTTAGAAGCTTAAATGTTAGTAACTTTAAGCAGAGTGAATTGCCTTAAATTAAAATAATTAATAGTTGATTATTGGTGAACAAGAAATGTGCATGTCTAGTTCTGCTTGTGTTTTGGTCTTTGTCAGTATGTCCGCAGTTAACAGGTCGTATCGGAGTGTTAAAGGTGGGGTAGGTAAGAATGGAGAAACCAGCTCGAGTAAGCTCGAATTTGAAAGTACACAACCGAAAAAAAATCTGCCTTTCCTTCAGACTTCCTTACAGAGACCCTCCTCCAACACACGAACGAATGAGGGCATGAGATGGAAGGCTGACAGGCAGGTAGGCCATCCAGTTATCTGCCGCGGCCCGGGGCAAATAATTGGACTTGCTTTTTCCAGCGCCACGGCTTCCACAGATGAAATATTTGTATATATTTATTGTCAAAGCATTTAATATATTCATTGCTATCGGGATGTTAAGAGCATTCCATGGAATATAACAAAAGTGTTTCTGAAGTGAATTACCTACCTTTAACATTTGGAAAACAAAATGACTTCAATGCTATTTTTAGAAAAAGATACATCTGTGTGGGAAATGTAAAAATGTCCTAATGTAGCAAACCATACAAAATAAACAGGGTTAATCAAAAACAGACTCAGTGGTGGTCTCCACATCTGACTTGCTGTAGTGTCACTGACATGGACGACAGTAACCTCATGAAATCAAAGCAGCTGCAGTTTCTACACTGCTGTCCATCATGGATGTATTCAGACTAAAAAACCACAATACATGACAGGAAATGACTGGATTTCCCCTGAATTAGTAATACAAATATAATCATCTCCTTATGAAACCCTGAGGATGTAACTATAGTGTGCCTATTGTCAAAGCAGCTGTGTACTTAAAAGAAATACACATTCAAGAGAGATTTAAATAGTTTTAATTATCAACACAACATCAAAAATAAATTCATCAATTAGTATAACAGGTGGTTGCCTGTTTTATTCATATAGTAATTGATAAGATGATCCCTTTCCCCCTTCACACTGAAAATGACTGAATGAGTTCAAACGATTCAACCTTCGTTCTGTGTCATGGGTTTGTTTTTGGATTTGGCAAAAAGTGCAACAGCTTTTAACACTGACGATAATGTCAGCAGGGAAGTGAAGATTTAGAAATCAGGCCCTTCCTTCTTCAGCTTGGAGTAGTCCATGTTAACTGCGAAGAGCTGCAAATAAAAAACAAATGTGTGAGGGCGGCAATATGGACTTGGAAGCAAGAAAACAGAAACAATATGGACTATGGATTAAATCTAACCAAAGAGGCCTTCGTAATTTATGCAAAACGTAAATAAAGGTGTATACTTTGTACTGCTGATTAGGCTTCATGTTGTTCCAGGGCTCGGGGTTGTTCTTGCGATCCCATCTGAGAACAAAACAATATAAAAACTTTTTAACATCATCAGAGATTGTATTGAAAACACACACATAAAAGAGCTAACTCTTTTATGTGACTTTTTAACATCACCAGAGATTGTATTGAAAACACACACATAAAAGAGCTAACTAAGTCCTTGAGAAAACACTATGTCTGTAGTTGTGTCATTTATTAGACGTGATAGAGACTTACGAGACATCAGGGTTTCTCAGAGCCAGCCGACTCAGGTACATAATGCTCATGGTCGCCCCGCCACCGATGAAGATGAAGAGGGGGATGAGCTGTGGGGCAAGGACCAGAAAATGTAATCACACACATACTATTTATAACATCATTTGTGGAACAAACCCTCACAACAAGAAATAACGATATTCTGTAAATCATCTACTCGTATTCGGTTTCATAAGGAAAGATAACAAGTGAGAGTACAGTTTATAAGTACAGTATAATAGAATAATCTCATAGGCTGGTTGTTTGCATTGCATATCACTAACCACTTAGATAATATTTCACTTTCTATATAGGCCTATGTATAATCCCCTCCCATCCTTGCCTTCTCAGTGAAAATAAAAGAGCATTTACATAGTGAAGTGGAAATCTGACACTGTTTAAAGGACAAACATGGTGGCACCCTGTGGATTATTAATATGGACTCTGCCGTAAAGCGAACCGGGTGCCCTTGGATAATCAGACATGCATTGCACTGGCAATATGCCAGGGGGTCACACTGCACTGTGTACGTGCCGTACAGAACTGCATACATGGCTTTGCACATGCGTACATCGACCCACACCGATATACCATATAGGGAAAAGAGATTTGGTACTTTTAACAACAATTAAAACGATAGCTCCTGTTTTAATGGGAATTTGCTCTAAACATGTACAACGCCTTTAAATGAGGATAGCCCAATAAACGGAATGTTGTGATGAGAAATTAAGATCAATATTATTAATGCAAAAAAAATCATGATCGGGGGAAAAAATCGATTACAAAGTAATTTTATTGGTGTTTTATTGCCTTTATCGTCCACTTCCTCCTCAAATCTGCCACGATAGATTTTACATTCATGCAGTCATAGATCATAATTTGCCTGGTAATGTATGATAAAACCCCAAAATGTTGTATAACTCAGGTAATATATCAATAACTTAAGAATAAAAATGATGGCTTGATGAGGTGCGGTTTTTGGGAAGCATGCGCGATCATCTCGTCCTCAAAACCTCGTTCAATGTCACCGGCTCGATCTTGCGTTATCGATCTCATGTAATAAATAAATAAATAATAATAAAATAAACATGTTCAGGACTCACAGCAGGGTGGCTCTTGAGCTGTTTGGCGATGACCCCCAACATGCCGGTGAATCTTCTGGCAGTCTGAAGTGAATATCTATGAAGAGAAACGCGCGCTACAGCAGAGCAGCTCCTCCACAGTCAGACAGTCCCACAATGCACCGCTAACAGCTGTATAATGTGTACCCTTCCGCAATGTGGATCAAGTGTGGTACAGCAACTGCAGCTCTTAAAGAAAACTCCCCTGTCCTTATATAACTTTAACCTACACACCAGAAACAGGAAAAAACATAATCTCCCATCGTCTGTATTTTTGACTTGCTGTAAGGGACCAATTACTTAATGACAATAGTCAAGAAACAGAGTATAAACCTACCTCACACATTCTGATTCCTTACATTTTAAGATAGAGTTTTGCCACCGTCACCACACAATTGTGTTTTTTGTAGCTTTCAATAATAGCATATGATCTTCATCAGTAGGAGGTTTACCAGAGGTGGGAGAAGTACTCAGATATTGTACTTGAGTAAATGTAGAAGTACCAGAGTGTAGGAATACTCTGTACAAGTAAAAGTTCTGCATTTAGTAACTCAGTAAAAGTACAAAAGTATTGGCATCAAAATATACTTGAAGTACCAAAAGCAAAAGTAGGCCCATTTCAGAATAATGATATGTTCTTAATTTAATCATTGATGCAATAGTGTTATCAAGGCTGGTAAGGTGCAGCTGAATTTTGCTGCAGGTGTAACTTAAGTCTTATAAAACTAAAGTGTTGATTATATGTCACATAATTAATCCAAATCTACAAAGTAATTAAAAGTATTAAATAAATGTAGGAGTAAAAGTACACCATTTACCACTGAATTGTAATAGAAGTAGGGCTACAAAGTAGCATAAAATGGAAATACTCAAGTACAAGTATCTCCAAATTGTACCAAAGTACAGTACTTGAGTATAAGTACTTAGTTACTTTCCACCACTTAAGATTACCTTTTTTTTTTTTAAACAATTGTAAACTTTAAAATATACATTTTGAGGGACCAAAATAATTCAGTTTTCTTTTTTTAAACCTTTAACATCAAACTGATCTTTCAGTATTGGAACATTGAGCCTACAGGAAATTAATTTAAATGATAAATGTGTAGTTTACAGTAGTTCCAAATCAAAGCTAGTTCAGACTGCAGCTGCAGCACCTCCCTGCAGACATGGTGAACCACAGCATTAAGAGTTAGGACTTCAGAACAGTTAAATAAATCACAAAGACAACACGTTATCAATTATATATTTATATGGACAGAACACAGAACCTGAGATAACAACGCGTCCCCAGCATCCACACCGCTTCATAAAACATTGAAATTGAGGCTTATTTGGAACATACAATGTTTCAATCCAACAGCATTTCACCGGGACACTAAAACTAGAAGTCAAACAATCCGACTATTAACTTTAAATCCACGTGCACACACACACACAAACAAATCTCCGGTCAGGAATAAGGTATGGAACAAACGTCTCCACATAAAAACCCTCTGCTGAAGTGCATAAAAATCCACCCGATACAGTATACCATGTAACACCTGCCTCGATTATACTGACACAACAAAACTAAAAGTAAGAGGGTTTTTTTTTTTAGCTTATGCTGCAGGTAATTGGAAAAGGATGTAGAAAATACACATTACTCTTAAAGTACAAAAGTGAATATAAAAATAAGAATTGCAACTCAAAAGTAGCATTTCAATTTGTGCAAACATGTCTACCAGAAATAAAACTATTTGAACATCAACTTGTCAGCTTGGCAGAAGAAGAACGTCTTCAGAGAATTACAGATGACAAATCTATACCACTAAAACTGGTTAGGTAGTCAACTAGGCTGCGAAACCTTATATCTATAAACAGCACACATCTATAACATCAAGGAATAACAGGGTTTTTCATCCATTAACTTGTACTGTTCTCTGCACGTAAACAATATGACAAAAAAAATAAACATCTTTTAAAGCAGGAATGCATGAGCTGAAGCATTTAGGTATTGAATCTACCAAAGTCCAACAACTGGAAAATTCCCTTCAGTCTACAATAATCTAAATGTGATTTCATTGTGTTTTTTTTTTCTTTTTAGGAAAATAAAAAAAGTACCTAACTGATTTGTCGTGCTTTGTACACCAGCAACAGGTGCAACGTAACATTAGGTAAGAAGAATTCTAGATAAATATCTTTGAATACTTAAAAACAAGCAAACTTATCCGCACAGGGTGTTTCTGACTCGACTGGAGCGATGACGCACTGCAGTTTAAAAACCAATATAATAATATAAGTTTGTGTCATGGCTTTCTTTGGGGAACCATAACAACATGTGAAGTTAGGGGGTCAGTCATCCAACAGAGGTTTGCCCTGTCTCTCACACTTGTGTGTTTGGCCAAAAATATATCTTTGGAGTGACAGAAATGCCTTAATTTAGAAATATCACAATGCCCAGACACCAAAAAGAAAAGCTCATAAAGCAAATCCATTGGATTGCATAGAATATATTTTTTTCAAATATTATAATTTTTTTTCTCAACATAAGATTATTTTAAACCTGTATAGATATGGAATTGTCCTTTCCTAAAATAAAGCAAATATTTGCATTACGCATTATAATTTCCGCAGAAAGACATCTGCAGCTGCTCAGAAGGCGAGACCCTCCCCAGAGCTCTCTCCCACCACAGCGGGGGAGGTGCTGGGGGGGTCTGGGAGAGCCTGACCCGTCCCCTGGCTGGAGCAGGAGCCTGCAGGGGAGACGGCCAGGCTGCGGAACAACATGTCCATGGAGGGGAGCAGCGGACTCAGGAGGCTGACGGGGCAGAAGGCGGAGCCCCCATAGGGGGTGAAGTTCACCTTGTTGGGGTCCGGGCAGGAGGAGAGGAGGGCGGGCATGGGTTGGCGTGGAGAGCTACAAGACAAGAGGAGAGGGGCTTTAGGAAATTGAAGATAAGATGATAAACCTTTATTGATAACCCGGAGGAATATGTAGGCTTCACTCTGTTTTACACACACAGTACAAATGCACAGGTGTATAGGTGCACACATGCATTTTAAGAGGGGCCAGTGTACATATAGACAAGAACCGGAGACCCTCAGGTTCTCAGGACAAGTCTAGTTAGGACCGACTGAGCCCCTGAACCCGCATTGTGTTTGTTTCTTCCGACAGGATCCGCAGAGAGGGCGGTGTTCCTTCACTACAGGTTTATGAGAGAGTCACTTTGCCCCCCCCTGTGTTGGTCACCAAGGAGATCGGTTAGTCCAGGGTGGGCAAATAGGGGGCGCCCTCTCCTAGTGTTAGGAGCAGCTATTATGTAGCCAAGTCCCTACAGACTGAGCCACCACCACCCAAAAAAAGAACACCTTTAAGATTTAGTTGTAGAAATTGGATTTGGTTAGACAACAGTTACTTTAACCATCAATGATATGGTAAGTATTCTGGTCCCTAAAAAAGTAGTCTCTCCTCATGATTTAAGGGTTTTTACCAAAGACTTCAATACATTACAAGTGACAGACTCACAAAAGGGAAAGACACATATTTATAACAGCAGTGAGAACTGTAGCATTTTATCTGACAGCTTTGCAGATTAAATAAATCATAAGTGAATGAATAAATAAATTCTGATGTGTAGGAAAAATAGGTTAATCTTCCCAGTTGTATAAACAGGGTATATGCAGGAATCCTGAAGTTAGATGTAAGACCTTTTTTAAGACCCTTTCCATACATTTTAAGACCTCATCGCCACTTGGAGTTTTAACCGGTTACATTGGCGAAACACTTTACCTCACATTGACTATATACAGTATTGATTGTCCTTCCTCCTTATCAAACCATTTGGACGCAGACTTGCATTTCCCCATAACGATGTTGTTTAACAACCGGCGTAAACGGACCTTCGTGCGCTATCAAGCAGTGAGCGTGCGATGTCCTGTTCAGATGACGTCAAATCCAACGGGATGCCATAAATAAAGTACACAGAATCACACTACACACCTACGCAATGATTACATTCAGGCAGACTGTAGAATACAACCTCTTTGGACCATTTATATACTTTTTGAAAACAAGCTACAAAATGTAATACCTTGGAAAAAATAGCCTTAATTTTCGCTAAATTGATTTATCAATTTTTTAATACTTTTTAAGACCCCGCGGACCCCCTGAGTGTATAAACATGAGCTCCATCATTACAAGATGCAACATTAGGGCAGTAAACATTATTGCAATGATACTTATAGTATAGAACATTCTGAAATGGGCTATTCTGCATAATAAGTGCTTCAAGTGTACATATTTTGGATATAAATGCAGGACTTTGGCTTGAGCTGAATTTTTACACTGCAGCTAATTTCACATCGCAATATACAGGTCGAGTAAGAACAAGACTTAAAAACAGGAAGTATTTTTTTCATTAATTGTACAGTTGTTGTTTTAGTTTGAAAACATTGTTCCCTTATCATGCCTTTGGTTAACCATACTGGTTATAGTTCTAAATATACGTGTGGTCACGTTTAGACAGTATAGTATACAGTAAAAAAAAAAAAAAAGGCTAATGTATGAATACCAGAAAGCTTCCACGCAGTTTGAATTTATGTTTAATATTTGGAATTAATTAAATAGTTTATTGCAAAAAAAGCCCTTTATTAGCTACCTCTCTGGGTAGAGGTTAAGGAAAAAACATCTAAAATAGGAAATTAACTAGTCTCTAAAGGGAAAATCTGCCCATTTTAAGCAACAAAGTCTGTTGAAAGGCCATGTAGAGAGCTTGTATAACGTGTTTGTGGCTCCAGAGGGAGCTGTGATGAATTGCCTCGAATGTGAGTGAAGAATACAAGTTTGAATTGAAAACAGAAACAACCGGGGCTCTGGAGCAGAGACCTCTGTAGCTCAATGCCGCCCACTAGCAGAACACACCTAAATCTCCAACGGTTGGCTTTCAACTTGCATTGTGGGTAATGTAGGCGCCATGTCTCCATTTTGTGGAGATGGGGAACACACATACCTGGTTTCCTCCCAGACTTTAATCCTCTCGCAGCCCTCTGGCGGCTCCCTCTGGAAGCAGCAGCTCTTGTTGGGCCCCGGGGAGGACGAGAGGTCGGCCTCGTTCTGGGAGGAAAACGGAGACAGGAGGCACATCTCTGCTCCGTCTGTCAGACCTGAAGACAGCAGAAAAAAACGACAATATATCAATGATTCGTTAAACTTTCATTGACAGTTTGTTCCTGGGATTTAATGGGGCAGACAATCCGAAAAACATGTTCTGGGCTATAAAAGTAAATCTGTGGCTTAGACATAACTCCATCACTTCAGTTAATTATTAAACAAAATTAAAAAAATGTGCACTGTGATTAGTCAACCTTTTTCAAATTCAACCATGTACTACTTAAATGGTTCAACTATAATACAATAGTGTACGTATGCAAATACAAAGTAGTTTCAGATCGTTCACTGACTAAACCACCAAAACAACCTGTTGGTTTGTAAGGAGGTGTAGCTGCCGTCAGTGTTTCACAAGATAAATGCAGGTTGAATCCTTATTTTAAAACCATCAACATGAACTGTGTTAAAAGCGGTTAAATGCTTTGCCCCACAAACATGTTTAAAATGTCTTGTTTTTTTATTTATTCCATGGTGTCAATCTGGAAAGAGGCTACAATGAAGTGTGCACAGACATTACTATTCAAGTGTCTGCCGGGGGAACAGGTTTAGCTGATGCCTGTTAGACTGCACAGTGGTTCTCTCATTTCAGGTTCTGTCCGAGTGGTTTGCCAAATCTAGGCCATGTTTTGAGAGAAGTGCAAGTGTCACAGCAGTTACTTTCCCTTAGCTTTTCTGGTAATTTCTTACTAATCCAATGTATTAAAAGCTATGTATAACAGAAACGTCCAGGTAGATGATTGAAGGCATAGGATTAACTCAGACCTCCAGCTTAATTGTTGGAACAAATGCACAGTAAACATAAACATCGCGATTACGGCTTGCAACGATTACGAAAAAGTAATCGAAATAAAAGGATTATTTTTTTATTATTATGACTTTCTTTTTCTTTTTAAATACTTCTTTTTTTTTCAGTTGAATTATACTTAAAGTTCAGGGTAATCAACTGTTAAAAACACTGTTCACATTTTTTTCTCTCCAATAAATTGATGTTTTCAAAGTAAATGAATAATCGCATTTAATAATCGCAATTACAATTATTGACCCAAATAATCGAGATTATGATTTATGCCATAATCGAGCAGCCCTAAGTAAACATGCCACTATGGACCAAACTGTCAGCTCATTTTGCACATGTACCACTTTTGCAATCAGTGAACTACCACCAAGAGGCTAACCTTGATGCAGATCCAGAGGTGCATCTTCAGGGTCCGCTGGGGAATTGGAGAAGTTTGTGGGAGAGGAACTGGGTGAGGAGGATGTGGAGGAAGATGAGGACAAGGGTGTAGTGGCGGGGTCACTCTGAGATCCACTGCTGCAGCTCTGCGGCGGAACCGGAGCCCGGTGGCCGTCTGGAACCTCCAGGAGCTGAGAATATGAGCAATGTAAATAACGTCAGCCTCCATTATATCACATGCTATCTTGCAGGAATCGTGTGTGCTGAGGGAGGGTAGGGGGCAGTTACCCTGTGCTGAGGGTGCGCTGGCTGGCAGATGAACATGCCCTCCAGCTCCTGGTTGAGTCCCTCCACACTGCAGCGCAGCCGGGGGACCAGAGTACACAGGGGGGCCAGGGGGATGGGGATGGGCTGAGTCTGAGGACACAAACAAAGCAAACGGAATTTAGGCTTCATTACTTTTGAGGGAAAACATAACGGATCGAACACCTCGTGTGTTTTTATACAGTTAACAAGTCAGTGTCGCATGTTTGCTCTAATTGTTAAGCAATTTGAGCATAGACAAAGATGTTGCATAAATAGAGTTTATCATCACTACAAATTCTGAAAAACTCTTATGCAGCAATAGAGGCAGCGATAACTCGACCTGGCGATTAGACAGAAAAAATATTCCAATAAGATATTTGATTAATGGTTTAAGGATCGTTTCCTGCAAAAATATCTTGGACTGACAAAACAAGTTATTAAAAAAGACATTACAGATTTTGTGTATATGTGAAAGCAATATATAAAATCAACTCATTAACCATCATTATGGACTCTGAGGAACTAGGAAGGAATTTATTTGAAACTATTCGGCCGGTTAATTGATTATATGCAAATCATTGTTTCAGAAAAGCCAATTCATCTTAAGTTAAATATGAAAGCAACATGTGTTAAAAGGGACATAACGGGGTGGAGGTCCTTTTAAAAAACTCTTTAAAACTTAAAGGTATTACTGAGGCTTCTCGCTGTTCTCATTGGTTTGTAACGTCACCACAGTTTGGTGTGAAACCGCCTCGGCCCGGTGGATTGAGGCACCACAGAACTGAGCTGACCAGCTGTGCTGAAAAGCAGAACTACACATTTCATTCTGAAAGCAGAAGCAGTGTGATGTGGTAGTCTTCCTGTTGCTTCAGCGTTTTATTTAATTCACTTCCTGCGATGAACTGCACATCAAGTTCACGTTGATGGAGGTAAACAGTGATGCTAGGCTGCACTGATGAAGGAATATCTGTGAGTACCCACAAGCACAGAGTAATTGATGCGGTGTGTTTGTGTGTGGGGGTGATGCTAAGGTACCTGAGTAGTTCCTAAGCTACAGCTCCCCTGAGGGTATCCACACTGGCGGTCTTTGTCGTGCCCCCCAGAGACGGCAGGTTTGCTTCGCTGCTGCAGCTGTTGTTTTAGTTTAGAGATCTGCAACGAACACAGGTTATTGTCAGTCAATCAGCTTGTACAGAAACACAAACACTCAATTACAAATGTCACATGTTTCATAACAAGGGTCTTCTTCAGAAGCATGTTAGCGGCTATAATCTGATTGTATGGTGGCTCAGATCAAATATATGATGAGGAGTGAAGCTCAAAAAAAGGGAAGTCTATTTGCAGATGAGATCATTTGGTCTCCTGTTGCTCAATGTTGTCAAAGCAATTAAGTCAGGCCTTTTCTTCCGCCCTGAGCGTGCTCTCTTCGACATTCAGCTGGTTGATACAAACATACGTTGAGTAATGCAGTAAAGTCGAGATTCACCTCTCGCAGATGCTCAGCGCTGCCCCACGATGCCGATCGTTTGTGGCTGCTGCTGCTGCTGCTGCTGCTGCTGCTGCTTCTTCTGCTCTGGGATTTATCAGACCATGAGTCTGGGGTCTAGGGAGTATAAAAGGCAACTATAAGAACAAATATTCTTCAAATAAGATCACATGTGTCTGAAAAATCAGCGCATATATATATATATATATATCATAGTTTTAGCCTAAGCTGCTGATCATACAACAAAATCACACAGACTGGAAATCATAACTATTAAGTCACACAACATTTCAGGACTTCACACTTCTTTTGACAAAAGTTGCACACTTCATGCTCAAAGGCTGATCTGCAGCCACATCACATCATCCACACCCACAGACTTTATTCACACTTGTCAAAAAGCGAAAGAGCATGGAGAAACTGAAAAACAAAGAGGGGGGGGGGAGGAGGATGTGGGCAACAGAACAGCCGTGGCGAGTGCCTGCACACAGCAGCACAGAGGATGGGTGCAGCCAAAACGGCCTCATCAGCTGACTTCAGGGACAGTTCTCATGGCTGTGGTTTTTGCTCTGCAATAGCTACGCGAGTACTGGACCCTCCTTCTTTCTGTCTCCTAGCAACTGGTTTCTCCTCTAAATCTGCAACCTAATCTTTAACATGGTTCAACCCCCTAAAAAGTTGTTAACGACCTTCAAAACAAAACTATTACTGTGGAAACAGCTGTGGTAAAGTCATGCATTCCACTCATTTCAGCACTTTCTTCAGCAGGAGCAGACCTGGGTGGACTTGTCCTTGCGAGACGGGCTGCTCGGCCCCTCTGGTTCTTTGGGCCAGTGTCCCTGTAGGTACGGCCCTATGATGGCGTCCAGAGACATCGTCCGCCTCATGCCAGAGCTCAGCTGGTGCGATTTGGGCTTTCCAGCTGTTGGAAAGAGAAAACATTTACTTGACATGCAGCAACAGATTACTCTGCTGTAGCTTGAGTTTTCATCAGACTGTTGAAAGCTGAATACGTTTTAGCATTGTTCTCCAATACTAAGCTTTATAACAGTGGTTTTTACTTTTGTGTCAGATACAAATATTACTTATAATAAACACCTATATCAAAATATGAAATGTGTCCAGAAAAGTTATAATTTGGTTAAAGTGAACACACTTTAGGTCACCATTAACAACACCTGGGGCTGAAATGATAAAGTTGAATAATGTTTAATTGAGTAGAAGATTTGACATTAATGGCACAGTTGTTTATAACTTGTTGATCGTTTAACTAATTTATTTTTAGGAAAACTAGCAAACATTTGCTTGTTCTAGCCTCAAACTCAAACAAAGACTTCCTGTATCATTTATCTGACTTTAGTGGAAAAAAATAATAATTGACTATCAGGGAACTTCTGTTTTGTATTTCAAACTATGAGAATTCAATGTTTACAACAAGGTATCTACCAGATAAATGGACAACAAAAACAAGAATGCATGGCAGATCATAACCATAGGGTTGTATCGTAGTTTCTTAATACTCACTGTTTGACTTGCATATAAATCAATACAATACAGCCATGTAACAATGAATAAGTAGTTGAAAACTTCCTTGTTGAAATAATTGATTATTACTAGTTCACAGGGTTTCTCAATCACAGGGTCTTTACTCGATCATGCATGTCAAATGTTAACTAATTAGAAGTTATTTTAGCTTGTGTAAAGCAAAGTGTTTATTAAGCTGCATTACACAATGTAGGCATTTTTTTAAAGTCACATTAAGAGTATACTAATCGACGTAGGATCAATTTTTAATCCACACAGTGTGACAGGTGTGGAGCTCATACCTGTCTTTCCATCTCTCCGGTGTGATCTCGGCTTGCTGGACAGCTGATAGGGAATAGTAGCCTTGAGGGGCTGTGGACCCAGAGTAACCCCCCGGATCTGTCCCACTCCACATGGACCAAACATCTTTCCAGAAACAAATCTGGGACTATGTGGCTGAAAAAAGCAGTGGATATCTGGTGGAGATTGGGGGAGCTCTGTGGAAACACTGGTGGCTAAATCACCAGCTGCAACCCTTCCTCCACTGGTGATGACCAGAACTAAAAAAACCGTTACAAAAGTCGGCCTTAAGTCATTTAAATATAATTTCCAGGTTGACACATCCACCAGCTGCAATTAACTCGACAGATGAGATGTTACTAACAGCCTGAGATAAAGTGATCCTCGGCCGTGATCATGCTTTTTTTCTGGCTTGTGTGCGAGTTAGCAGCCTAGCAAGCAAAGTTTCTTTGTGAGGATGTTGAGATATTTCACCCCGTTGTCGAACAAGGAAGCAGCTCCAGTTTCAAAAAGTAACTTTAGGGTCAACCTCTACGTCTCCTGACCAAACCTGGAAGTATATTTCATTATGGTTTGTCGGGCTGTAGAGGGTTTTTGTGGCCCGAAAAGTTGCGAGGTGGCCACAGTAGTTTTCCCCTCCGCGTTCTTGTCTTTACTCCAAAACACCTCCACAACCACGCTGGTGTGGATTTAATTATATGAGGGGCGGGGTCCGACTCGGAATCTTACTTTTCATTGGTTGATGGAGCCCTTGGCTTCAATTCTATTGGACAATCCCCCATCAATCCGTCAAACCTCGGACAGTGTTACTTTCTGTCACCGCCCCATATCTCATATTAACCGATTTTCGCCTTTAAAAGACAACTTTAAGCTTATTTAGTATGTTGGATTACAGATGGATTACTTCTTAGAACTTCGTCAATGGTTGAAGCCTAGTGTGATCCGACGATGTATTTAAAGGACCATCGTTTGTTTGCAAGGTTTTTTTAATTTAGTTTTTTAGGTTTTTGAAAATAGGCCTACAAATCATGTCGCCTTCAGATTTGTCTGGAGTCTGGACCAATTTCAAACGCATTTCATACAGTCTAAGATTTGTATATACTACAGTTTTAATGTTTGCTTACTAATTATGATTACTTCATTATTATTACTTTCAAAATATTGGTACAGTCCAGTGGTACAATCAAATGTTTTAAACACTGTATTAGTTGTAAAGTATGGGATCTGTAGTTTATAGGCCCCAATATGGGCTACAAAACCACATATATAAATTTAATATCACCTTCATTTATTTATTGGCCAAATATTTCATCATACTTAGTTGAGGCGTATTAAGTCACCCTGACAGGGCATTTGTGCACCATCTGGGTGGAAGTGGTTTGGGTGTTGCATTTGCATGTATGAGAAAGTGTGCATTTTGGGAGATAAGGGTCCGGACACTGTGTAAAGGGAGTGCCAATGGGGGGGAAAGAGAATGGGGTAAAGATAACATGGCCTCCACTTTCAAGGCAGATCCTGGACCAGTTCTAACTCTACCAATGTCCCCTGACCTAAACTAAACTGTCCTCAGCGGGCACTTAGTTAAACGAGACCTCGGTCCACGCTTAGATAACACACTCGTGTCCATGGCAAACCACAATGGGAGTAAATGTGCTTTATCACAGAAGGGTGAAGTGCTGAATGTGTCCAGCGGCCTGCTCATCTATCTCGTGCAACTGCACCCAACAATTGATGTCACTTTGACAAAAAAGCAAAAGACAAAGCCAGATAACTAAACCAAACTTTTCCCCCCCTCCGATATCCATTTATTTTACAGCCAGGCAGTTAATTGGACAGTATGTCAATCAGGAATTTGTCTCCTACATAATACATTTCCAGGGTCTACCAAAGGACCTTCAGCTGTTGTTTGTTTAGCTCTGTGTATTTGTCCGTGTTAATGAATGAATGATCCTAACCTATGACCTCACATAAGCTATTTCAAACCCATCTGAGGAAAGTCGATGTCATGCTTCACAAAGTTGAGCTAAAAGGGGAGACATGAAAACAAAGAGTGACCTCTGCACAATGTGAAAGAGCGTGTGTGGGTTTCTTTAACCTACAGTAAATGAAATTGATGAGTTTTCAGCTACTTATTTACAACAACAACAAAAAATCAACTAATATCTTACCAGTGTGTTTTTATTGTGCCTGATCAGGTATGTAATACATTGAAACTGTGGTTTCTGAGTGGCAAATTGGCAACTATTCTTAAATGCAGCAAAAAGATTCACTTAAATGTAAATGTGGAGGCAATTCCTGAAGGATATCTATATGAACAAGATTAAGAGTCTGCAGAAATGCTAACAGAGCTATGAGGTTGTTTGAGAAACACAGTGCTTTGAGCTACATGCTAACATCATCATGCTAACTTGCTCACAACACCAATGCTAACATGCTAATGTTTTGTAGGAATAATCTTCACAGAGCTTTTCATCTTAGTTTAGCATGTTAGCATAACCTTTTCTACTCACCACTAACTACAGCTAAGGGTTATCATACTGATGATAATGTTATTTCATGCTTGTTTTTGAACATAGGCCTACACCAAACTAGCAAAAAACTAAACAAAATACACATTCTACTGTTTAATGTTTCAAAAAAGGGAGTTTTATTGCAGTTTAAATAACACAATGCATCCCAAATCTCACAACATTGCATGAGATTGCAATTTATATGTCACTAAATGATAAAAGCAATACAATTAATTAAAAATATAAAAATAACCAATCAAAAATAAATCAAATGACACACACGCACGTTGCACATTCACTATTTCTCTCCTGCTCAAACTACTCTATCTAGCCAGGTTTTTAGAAAAAGACAATGAAAACATTCATTCTGCATAGTTGCAATGCAATTTGCATTCATATGCAATAGATATTATGTCAGTTCACATTGTAATGGCTCTGCAAACCTTTATAGCCTCTCAAGTCTTTACTGTCACATCCTAAAATCTGTGTCTAACATACTATATGATTGAATAAGGCCTAAACTGTAAACCATCCTAATATCATAGAGCTGCTTCTTTTAATTTCTAAATAGTCTTCATCATAAAACCCTCTGTCCATGTTAACAGTATAAGCCTCTCTTTTAAAATAGTCTGATATAATATGGCAAAACATTGTTTCTGTTCCCTTTAAGGTTATACCAGCTCATCCACCCAGCACCGCCAGTATTATGCAAGAGGCGGAATAAGATACACTGACAGAAGAAGGATAAGACACAGACAAATGGACAAGTACACACAGGACAATCCTACAGCGATTTTTTGTTCAATGTTACCAGTAGAGACGTGACTGTAATTACACACATCATGACGTAACAGAGGTCATCTTGGACCAGTGGTTTGCATTCCAGGAGGCTTAATCGTGTCAAGACTATTAGAGACAGTGAAGCTGCAGGAGGCCGTCGGGCAGTACAGCAGCTTTTCCTGCGTCTTTGCCACAAAGAGGGAGGCTACTCTTTCACAAATGCTTTAAAAAGGTGTAACTTGATACCTAGAGCATGAAGGAACTCACGTCAGGGCCACAAAAGAGAGCATTTGTCCACCTCCCAGAAGTAGTCTTTTGTGTTTTCATGTTGAATTGTCTCAGTTAACAGGTCGGCAGTGTTTCTTTAGCGCCCCCTAGCTGGGAGAGAGGGCAGGACTGTTCTCTTTGCTGATGTGGACCAGGCACTCACTGGACTTGAGGCTAGCCAGAGACTTGCAGCTGCGGAGGGAGGACAGGGACCCACACAGGCCTATCATGGAGGGGGTGTAGTCCTTTTCTGTAAGGGTGCGACACACATGCGAAGGGAGGGTCAACTCAACTGTTTTGTGTGAGTTCGTTATTATCTCACTAAAACACAGTGTGTGTGGCTTTGTAAAATGTCACCTGTGCACCAGGCTCCTCCATTCTGTTTCCCTTCAGTCCTCTGGGAGTCTGAGTCCAGGCTGATCTCCACTGACAGCAGCTCTGTGCTGGGGAAACTCCTCCTGCAGGACAAGAAAAGTACAAACTAAGGAGTTAACAATACATCCATCCATCCATCCATCTTCTCCCGCTTATCCGTGGTCGGGTCGCGGAGGTAGCAGTTCCAGCAGAGAGCCCCAAACTTTCTTTTCCCTGGCCACATCAACCAGCTCTGACTGGGGGATCCCAAGGCGCTCCCAGGCCAGCGAAGAGATAACAATAACAATAACAATACTGTAAATATAATAAAATGGAGTCTCTTTATTGATTGTAGTAAAAAAAATTGCATGCATTACATTTCGAGGGGTCATTGTTAAAGGAAATGTATGCAAATATACAGTATTTGTGGATATGAACCCTGTAATATACCACCTTAATACTTTTGGGCATATGAATGTACAGTATTTGAGCTGAAATTCTAAATCTATCTATGGGCAACTTACATTTTTTGGCTTTAGCTTCCAATGTAAGGAAGTCATCTTTTTTTGTCATGTCTTGGACCAATCATCCCCCAAAAAACGAGCAATTTGAAAATATCAAACTGGGCTATAGGGAGTTATATTGGCTATTATTAACTGACACGTCCTTGTCTAAACAAATACAAACCGGCGGAACAGCTTGACGTCGTCTTGGTTGTTGTAAATCTGGATCGCCGGCCACTGGTTGACCAGAGGGATTGTAAGGTTTTTGGCCAGGTGGTTGGAGTCACAGGGAATTAAGCTTGTCCTGGCCAAAATGTGCATACAATATACACATTACTAAAAAGCATTGAAATCTAGGACTGTGATACAGACACGTCAAAACCTTCACCTAAACAAATGAAAATGCATAATTGTTCTATGGTTTAAAGTGAGGAATATGAGGGTAACATGCGGTCAGTCGACATCACTCACAGCTGCTCCTGAAGCTCCAGGACGATGGCCTCCAGTTCCTTCTTCTCCTGCCTGCAGTGGCTCTCCAGCTCCTCCAGGTGGGCCTTTAGCCTCTTGTTCTCCGTTTCTGTGTTCTTCAGCTGGGACTCACGCAGGCGTACAAGCTCCTCCAGGTAACCCTGATAACACACGTCCACACTGAGTGACAGGACATATCTTCATCCTCGGATACTCAAATTAGAAACTGTCCAACAGAGATGCTGAGTGAATTACAGAAATTATTTTGTGATGCAATTTTTTACAAAGGAAAAGAAGGAAATAGTATGAGGAAGTGTGAAGTCCATGTAGTGAGGAGGTTAGGATTGATGAATGGGTCAAATAACAAAATGACTTTCACCAAGGAGACGGAGTGTTGATTTATTTTAACGCACATAAGGTACCTTACAACATACTTAAATTATGTAACTCTACTTGCTACACACATGCCTACTTAAATAAAACAACGTTAAAACCACCAAATTGGCGATAAAAGGTTAATTTCTGACAGATTACCACAGGGCTAATGCATGGGTAAAGGGGAAAGCCGCCATAACAAACGACCAGATAAAACAGACTGTTATCTTGATTAAATTACAGTTTTTTCTGGATTTGAATTCATGGAAACATTTGGGATAATGTATACAACCCTATATCCCAAAAGTGGAAACACTATTTATTCAAGCAATACTATCCTGTGCATTGTCAAACACCCAAATATGGTTGTCTACCTTTTGAGCATTGACGATGTTGAACCTCTGCTCCATCTTGCGACACTTTGTGCTCAAGCTCTCCTCGTCGGGGACCAGGGGGATGTAGGGGTGGTCCGGGACGCTGTCGTCGCTTGTGGTGCTGTCAACACTGTGTCGATCGTCATCATCACTCAGGTAATCATAGCTGCAGCAGAAGCACTCAATTATTTATTTTAAAGTGTCAAGTATCAAAATCTACTTTCCTAGTAGGGTATTTAGAGAGGAGATTTAATTAACTTTGTCTTTTCTCTACAGTGTTAATGAACAAACCTTTGTGTGAATTTCAAGTAAGGTGTGAAGTCAATCACGGCAGAAGATTTCCCATCTAAGGCTTCTCCTTTAAGACAGAAACTACAGAAGGAGAAACCAGACAGACAGGAGACAACATATTATCACATAGCCATGTCAAATCAAGTGTTTTTAATGCGTAGATAACATTTTTTTAAGGTTTCCTCACTTAAAATCTATGGCTCCGAGTCCTATGAGCATCCCTGTTAGGACGGTGGCTTCCTCCCTTAACACGATGGCTCCTTCTGCATAGAACCTCCTAAAGGTGAGACTCAGGTGAATGGGGTAAAAAACTTAACAAATATAAACCACCATTAAACGTGCCCAATTGATAATTTATATTAAGACAATATTTTTTTCTATTACAAGTTTTCTGAAATGTTGTGTTTTCATATGCAAATTAAGCATTATGTTAATAAATGTTTTAATTTGCAAACATTTTTAGAAAAGAAAACTAATTATTGGATAATGCCGGGTTAAAATGATTGGTTCATTTTGTTGATGCAATAGAGTAAGTGGCTTGTATAGAGATAACTTTGCCATGTATCCTATTTAGGAATTAAAAATGATAAACATGAGGCTCTGAATGATATATGAATAGACCCCTATCTATAAACTTTCAAATTATAGAAAGGATTGAAAATGGAAAGTTTGCTGGTGCTGATGAAGTAGTAGGTTTAAATTGGAGTATATAAGGTAACGCTAAGCACATCTTGGAGAAACCTACATGTACAAAATAGACAAGGTTAAGTGAAATAAACACCTTCATTTTTGGTTCTGTATAGTGAGGTGTGTGTGTGTGTGTGTGTGTGTGTGTGTGTGTGTGTGTGTGTGTGTGTGTGTGTGTGTGTGTGTGTGTGTGTGTGTGTGTGTGTGTGGCCTCTATGTGTGGTCTGTCACCTTTAACCTGCTGTCCTGAGGAGCCTCTTCAGTGGCTGCTGCTCTTCACACGTTAAAACATCGTCCTCTTCCTCACTCAGAGACTTCATCACAGGGGGAACAAAAAGTAATAAGATATTATACGTCAGTAAAATAATTAATACCACACTTTAGAAAAACTCTGCAACTAAAACCCCGGCATTAAATATGCAGAATGGCCATTTCAGAATATTAAATACTATATATTTGGATTGTAATTATCAGTGGTACATTTACTCAGACATACATTATTTATTTGACACATGTAAAAACATATGAAATGACGAAGTATTATATATTATATATATATATTATATTAATGTACAGAAAAAGTACAATATTACCCTCGGAGATGTAGAGGAGATCTAGATATAACAATTTTACATTTATTTCATAACAAACCAGACGTCGGGTAGAACATCGAATCGAAAGAAGATAATCAATTAAATATGTTTATACTAGAGGGAACACAGGGATTTGAGCCTTTGACAAAAGTTAAATAAAAGCATTACGAATACATTTATATTCTACGATTTCCTCGTAATTGAACATGTCTACAAGACCAGGATGGATACTGTACATATAACATTTAGTTTGAATGAATAATATCTACAGTGTGTTAACCAACACATTCTCACTCCCAACTCGTAGTGACGTTATGTCAGGATCCCTTGGCCTCACTATCAAATGAAGTGGGGGCCCTTTAGCGTCAAATTTCAACTATCAGGGAGTCCCATTAGGCACTTTCACACCGGAGTACTTTTCCCGTTTATTTCCGATAGTTCCTGGAATTTTGCATTCACACCAAAAAGAGAAATTAGTTCATGAGAACTTTTACCCCCATTTGTAGTGCCTGCTAGAGAGGTGGGATCCTGGGGAGACAAAAGTACCCATTTCTGATTGGCTGGGCGAATTGCAAACCACGCCCCGTAAAATTCTGAAAAATGTTCTGAAACCGCCATTGTATTTGCTTGCATTAGCATTAGCATTATTAGCATTAGCCCCGTGGTCCAACGGAGAGAGACTAACTTATGGAAACACAAAATAAAACATGGGAGCGGTGGAGATGAGGAGGTGTCGGCGTTCTGGCGATTTACTCGGAAGGCTTCAGTAGAAGCTGCTGGGAGTCCCAGCAGCTTCTACTGAAGCCTTCCCCAACTCCGGGGACTTCCGGCCGGGGACTTCGGGTGGCAGTATACGCCGTGAAGTTGTTTGCGGCCTGCCAGTAAACCCAAAGCAGAAGAAGAAGAAGTGACGTCAGAGGCGTTGTTGTTAAGGAGTTGATCCTGCCCCTGCCCCCGCCTCGACGTTAGCGTGACGTATGCGATGCTTTTGCTCTGGCCGGACAACTTTTTGGTGCTTGAAACGAACCGGATTCCGGAGCTAAGAGGCTGCTCCGCTGCGGTGTGAACAGGAAAACCCGGTGCTTTTCAAGCTCCAGCTCCGAACCGGCCCTGAAACACCGTTGGTGTGAATGAGGTATAAGTGCTGGGCACTAAGTGCGGCAAAGTACTTGGTGTGAAAGCGGCCATTGACTTGCATTGAGCTCCGTGAACGTTGGTAATAGACGAGTTGGGATCGTGGAGAAATGCTCTCAGCAGAGCCATTCTCACAGCGTGACCTTTTTCTTACTCAATATCAAGCCATAACGTCACTATAGTACGAGTTGGGAGTGAGAATGTGTTGTGTAAATAGCCCCTGTAAGAATAGCCAATTAGTGGGGATCATATTTATGAATAAAAGATAATAAGATAAGATCAAAGCACTTTATTGATCCCAATCTGGGAAAGGTTTGCGCTGCAGCAGCAACATAGAAAGACAAGGCATTGCACATTAGAGAAATGAAAAGACTAGAAATAAACAATCCAAAATGTAAACGTCTCAATACAAATAAAATAGCATTAGAAAAAAAGTAGAAAATATACATGTTGAAATACAAATTGAACAAAGTCTAAAGCAGGATATTATACGTGTGAGGAATGGAATATTAAATATTAGATTGAAACACATGAAGGTCATTTCTCAGAGTATAGTGTTAGAATAGCCAATGCTGTATATAAATATATGAAGGTAATCTCTCCGAGTACTCCTCCCTCCCTCCCTCAGAGACCTCAGCTAAGATCACAGCCTCTCTGAGTGTTTACCTTCCTCTGCCTCCAGCTGGGATCCAGAGGGGAGGAGGGGAGATAAAGGGGGGAGACACAGACCGTGGATCAGAGTCTGGACGTCTCTCACGACGGCTCGTAGGTGTCCTTTGAGTCCTGGTGGTCCCCGCTTTGTTACAAACATCCGAACAAATGGTGGAGCATCAACGCCTCGTCGTGATTAATGGAGACCTCCAAATCCTTCTCAAGGCTTTTGTTGTCATGGCTACAGTGTAGATATGTCCGTGAACATCTGAGGTCACAGCCTCCAACCGTGCAACACAATAACACTGATCATATTGCGAGTAACTACCAAGAAATAGAACATAATACAAAGTGCAGAATAGTCTACAAGTAATTGGAATATTGATATATGTGAGATGCAAACAGATGAATGTTACGGATGTTCTTTCAAAAGTTCAGGTGTTTAAAAGTCTTACACTGGAAAAAATGCTGCTCCAAAAACAAGTTATACAATAATGAAAACAAGCTGTTTTCACTTAAAGCAAGTATAACAATCTGCCGATAGAACAAGTGAACATTTGCTTGGTAAGATTTCTCATCTGAGATACGACTCAAAGTAAGATGTTTCGACTTAACAAGACGATGCGTTAAAAACAAGACCTGATATCTCACTGCAGAGTTCCTGCTGACGTCCGTGTGTCTGATATCAGGAGTAGAGAGAGACACGTTCTGACTAGATGTTACAGCCGGGGCACGATCTGGAGTTGTTGTTGTTGTTCGTCCGTGGGATGGAGCCGTCTCTGAGTCTGGTTTCAGATCATCTCCCTTCTAATGTTCACGTTCAACCCTCATCTTTACTTATTATTATTATTAGACTTATTCTTGCTCACAGTGTTTCTAGAAAATGATAACATCCACATATCGTGCAGTAATCGACAAAAGCAGCATTTTCGTAGCATTTTTGACATAATCATGTATTTTTCACCGTGAACGATAGAAACGGTGGTGTGTGTCTTTACAACACATGCAGCGTTTAGAAAACATTCACCAACTTGAGGAATGTTTAACCCTCGTCTTGCATAATTAATCCAAATATGTGGGGTGTTATTTAACGCTACCTGGACATTCTTGCTAATTAGACCCATTTTATTTCTATTTTCACGCATTTTCAAGTTTTATCCACAGATCTTTTACCCGATATTCCACATATTTTACACAAATGGAGTTTAATGCACCTTTTAAAGCGAAGTATTCAACTTCCCTCCAGCTGCACTGTAGTCGTTGCATATCACAATAAAGCCATTGCAAGTAAAGTATTTGTACTTCCCAGCTCTGACATTAAGGGATGCCTCCTCTGCAGTTAAAGCAGTGTTTAGATGTTTCCTTTGCGTCCAGGTGGTCTCCACACTTTGTTACATTCTCCTCTCGTACAAATGGTGAAGTTTCTGTGGAGCATCGCTCCGTTTACAGCGGACCATTTGATGAGCAGCGCGTTGACAGGTGGACGAAACATTCCTGAAGAGCCTAAAGAAACTATCTGTTCACCAAAACGTCTAGGGCCGGGAAACTGGAAAGAGAAACAAATCTAAACTCTAAACTTTAATTTGAACTGTTCATATTAAGACTTTTTCTTTGACTTCTCAGAACAAATATTCATTACCTTCAGACCTCTTCACTTTTTTATCAAAAAAATATTTGGACTTATTTCCCGGAATTAGGAGATTTTCCAAGACTTCATAATTCAGAACATTTTTCAGGATTCTCAGAAGAAGAAATAGTCAATTGTTTTTGGGGGGATTTTAAGATTTTCAGCCAAAAAAAAGATCTGAATTGGTATTTCTTCTCAGATTTGTCAGAAAAAATATTTCCAACTTTGTTTCTCAGAATTTTGAAATTTCAACAAAAAAATCCCACTTTTTTTGCCCAATTCTCCCAAATGTTCCGATTCTTTTGAGATTTTTCGGAAATAGCCAAAACTATGATTCCATTCTTGCATTTTCAAGTTTCATCCACATATTTTTACAAATGTTTACTCACATTCAAACCAAAAGTCCACTTATTTTTCAAATAATAGTTTAATGCACCTTTTAAACACTACGGGAATCATTCAACTTCCATCCAGCTGCACTGTAGTTGTTGAATATCGCAATAAAGCCATTGCTCTTGACAAGGCTTCCCTCTCATTTCCCATTTCTGTATTTCCAGCTTTTCTTTGCAACGTTTTTCTCCGCTCTCATCACTCGTAGGTGTCCTGTGAGTCCTGGTGGTCCTCACTTTGTTACTCTCTTCTGTACAAATGGTGAAGTATCTGTGGAGCCTCAATACCTCTGGATGTACTAAGTATGTTGTCCTTTAATACCAGCCATTGGTTTCTCATGCATTATAACCTTTGAAACACTGGATTTACTTTTAGATATTATGGATATTATTCAGATTTTCAATGACGTATTAATCCCATTTCCAGGTGACCTAAAGTCTGACCCAACCCGGATTTTCTGTTATATTAAGGTGCTGTTTACACGGAAACGAAACGGGTTGTATCCGCTACTCTTCTCTTCGCATAGAGTAGCCTATGTACTACAGCGTCTCCAGCGGGTCGAGCGGTCTCGTGTGAAGGGACACGTTTATTGAGAATATCCGTGTGAACGGAATACTTTTTTGATATCGAATTCGGTTTGTTTGCGTTCCCGTGTAAATGGGGCCTAAAGCTACAAACTGTTCAAAGCTGCTTTTTCCGAGATCATTTAAGATCATTTAAGATAGGAGGTACTTTATTCCCCCCCACCCAGAATTGAGAGATTTCTTGAAATTCAGACTTTTTTTCCCGAATTCTCCCCAATTCTTCCTGAATGCTCAGAAAAAAATGTATTCTTACTTTTCCCCCCGAATTTATCCTAAAAATATAATTGCAACATTTTCCAACTGGCAAAACAAATTCAGACAAAAAAAAATATTCTGAGATTTTCCAAAAGAGGCAGAATTTGTTGTTATCTTTCCGACTTTTTTCCCTTTTCCTATTCCGTAGCATCAGGCAATTTAAATCTGGTATATCATGACGTGATTTGTGTCTTCCATTCTTGGGTTGATTGCTCTTATAGATGGGATTCAGATATTAAAACATATTAAATCTGTCAGGAGTATTTAAATGAAGGAGGGCTGTTTAACACTTTGATGGAATGAGCGTGTGAAGTCAGAGAGGATCAGTGTGGGGGGGCTCGAGGTGTGAGGAGGAAACACTGCCACACAGCACTTATTTTATATCTCTTCTGACAATTACAACTTAAAATACTTCATTTAACTGAAGAAGGAGGAAACACTCCAACTCATCTGGAGAAACATGGGGATGAATAACTGCAATCTGAAAAAGCGACAGAAGCTGACAAATTTAATTGAGTAAAAGTAGACAGTTGCATAAATTGGAAATCCTAACTAAATTACATTAAATAATATAACATTTAATAAGCATATGTTTTTAAATATAAGAATTCACAGTAAAAATGTGCATTACAAAATATTTTTAAAATAAAATATGGAAGAATATTGACGTAAAAATATGAAATATTAAGAGGAAATAAGAATAAATGGAACACAAATATGTATATAAGAAGGTAGAGTAAAAGTGTGCAATAAAATAATAATAATGTAATGTTAGCATTTGATTTACATAGAGCTTATAGCTTTAAGAGGTGGGTTTTATATATACTGCATATCTGATCATGTATTTCTTATGTTTGCTGTTGTTTTTGTTGTTGTTCCTCTTCTGCAGTTTCCAGCGTCAGCGTGGAGCGTGGCTGTGACGAAAGCGCAGGAATGGATCCGGCTGCAGTAAAGAGGCTCGGAGCTGAAACTGAAGCGTGAGGACCGTAAACGCTGAGGGAGGCCCAGGAACCAGCGGAGATCAGGTTTCAGATCCGTGAGGAATCCTACATCCACAGAATCACAAGTGGAGACTCACACTGCTGAAATAAAGCAGCGAAAAGGAGAGCAGAGGGAAAAGGGGGGAAGTAACTAAGTGCATTAAGTAGTTCATTAACTCAAGTACTAATTAACGTGCTTGTACTTTACTTGAGTATTTCCATTGTTATTACTTTATACTCTACCAAATGTCAGTGGGAGATATTATACTTGGAACTACAGCACGGTCACATGACTTCGCGCCACCACCGCTAAGCTAAAGGTGGCTAATGTTGGGCTATAAAGGAACTACAGCACGGTAGGGGTTTCACAACTACCAATATTTACTAGTCGACACATTTTTCAAAATAGTAGTCGACTAGTCGACTAGTCGTTACGTCATAATAAAGACACACAAAGAGAGGTGTACAACTGTATTTTCTATTGGAACTCATACAGTGTGGTGACCACCTTTAATACACTGGGTCATAATTCACACACGGAACTGTGGGGTAGGGCTATTGTTCCCACACGGACATGTTTGTGTTTACTATATGTTGTGTGCCCTCCTGACTTCACTCTCTCTTCTTCCCGGACTGCAACCGGACAACATGTCCTTTTCTACTCTCTAATAAAGTACCCGGAAGAAGAGAGAGTGAAGTCAGGAGGGCACACAACATATAGTAAACACANACACACACACCTTATCACCTGAATCTCCTCCTAGAGCACCCTTATCACCTGAATCTCCTCCTAGAGCACCGTTGTGTTCTTTTTAACCAAATCTCTCTCAGAGGGGCGTGGGGAGGGGCTCCTTATTTTCATCTAAAGTAACAGACAGAGAATCAGCACTTTTGAAACAGGGCTGAAACAGAGGGGAGTACGGGATGCTATAATAATGTGTTTGGTATTTGGAGCCAAACACTCCAGAGACATGTTTTGTATATATCTGAGACCTATAATAAAGTAATGAAAACCAGTATAATAGGGAACCTTTAAGAAATGAAGACGTGATTAGCCATTGACCATTTATTAAAATCAATTCCACCATCTCTCTGAATTCAAATTAATAAGATACTGATTTTTTTTTCACAATATATTATAATTTATTGAAAAGAATTGTCTAACATGCTGTTTGTTCTATGTACTTAACGTTTTTCTTTATAGTCGAACATTGGGCTTTCTCTCATACTGTACTGTAGCTGCACCTGTTTGCCCAAGACTACACTCTGTGTTTACTGAGATGAAAACACATGAAATAAGTTGATAGCCAGGTCCAACATATAATTGTAAAAAATATCTTATTCACGTTGCACTCCTTTCAGGCTCCGGCAGCTGGTTTGATGGTCAGAGGAGTTACTGGGACTATGTCCGTCTGTCCTGCGCTAAAGTCCCCAACAGCTGCATCAGCAGCATCGAGAGCATGGAGAACATCAGCACCTCCAGAGCCAAGGCAAGACCTCCGTACACTTAAAGTGAACATTGAAAATTGAAAGGATTCACAGTGAGATGTTATAGTATACAGTAAGAAATGTAAAGTCATTTCTGAACCTTGTGTGACTCCTTCAGGGGCGAGCCTGGATAAGAGTGGCCCTGATGGAGAAGAGGCTCTCTGAATACATCGCGACTGCTCTGAGGGACAGCAGAACAACCAGGTTAGAGGCCACACACACACACACACACACACACACACACAAATACACACACA